AATACTTTACCAGGGATGAGAAGGAAGAGAAAGGGGAATTAAAATTATTAAACCATTTTAATTATTATTATTGTTGTTGTTACGTCCCATTGAGTTGGAACCTGTGCATAGCTGACCCTTTAGTGGTTTTCAGAGGCTGTAAATCACACAACAGGAGAGTGCCCATCTTTCTCTCATGGAGCAGCTGGTGGATTTGAACCACTTGCCTTTGGATTGGCAGTGCAATTCCTTACATTAGCCATTAGCACTTATTAAATTGGGTGAAAGGGAAAATAGTAAGCAAGAACAGATTGTTTAGACATTGTAGTTAGTTACACTAATTAACAGTAATTAATTAAGGGCGCTCTGGTGGGGTAATCCATAGAGAAGTGCACTGCTGACCCCAAGGTGGTACCTCTCTGGCTGTTCAATCCACCAAAGGTTCTGAGGGAGAAAGATGGGCAATTTCCCCCACAGCTTGGAAACCCACTGAAGGGTCAACTCTGAGTCAGTTCCGACTCGACCGCGGTGAACGAGTGCGTTGTAATTAATGTTGTGGAGCAAGTGTGCATGACTGACTGCATGGAAAAACAATGGTTTGTGAACTTTCGCCCAAATCACAACTTCAAAAAATGTAAAAAAAAAAACCCAAGTAGTTTTGCTTTACTAGAGGAAATGTCCCCTTGAGGATTATACTCTTTAAAAACATATAGGACCAAAATGCCACTTGGAAGATGACCTAGGAATTGCAGGAGCAGTGAGCTGATGCTGATGTTCTTGTTAAGGTCACGTACCACTCATCGTGACCCCTACAAACAACGGAGCTGAACCCTGTCCTGTCCTGCACCATCCACACCATCTCTGACACACTCAAGCCCATTGCTGTAGTCACTGCGTCAGTCCTTCGGGTTGAAGCTCTTGTACTTCACCAACGCCACCCCCACCTTTCCAAGCATCATGTCCCTCTCCAAGGAACAGCCTCTGCTAGCAACACGCCCAAAGTATGTGAGAAAAAGCCTCCAAGGAGCTCTCTGGCTGCACCTTCTCCAAGACATATCTGTCTGTTCTCTTGGCCGTCCATGGTATGTTCAGTGCTCTTCTCCAACACCACAGTCCAAAGGCATCAATTCTTCTTTCATCCTTTTTTTTCTTTCCTTTCTTTCTTGTTGTGTTCTGTCGAATCCGATCCGACTGACACAGAAGGATACTGCTCTTCCTCCAGAGGAGCATCTGGTGGATTCGAACTGCACACCTTTGGGATTGCAGCACAGCTTCTTGCCACTAGGCCACCAGAGCTCCCTTTATTCTGTCATTCTTATTCATTATCCAGCTTTCAGAAGATGAGGGTGAAGCAATTCAAAAGGTGGATGAGAAGGGCTGTACGCCTCCGAGGACACAATCCATGTCCCTGAGTTACATGCATAGAAACTACTGGCACTGGTGTGTTTTGCTGTATACATATTCTCAGTGGCAACAAAATGAGTGATTTTTTTTTTACGTGAACAAGTCAAGGACCAAAAGAGAATAAGGGGCGGGGAGGGGTTTGTGCGGGGAGAAGGGTGCAACAATGAATGAATGGAATCCCAAAATCTCTGTAGATGTTCACTGAAATGAAAAATAAACAACCTAAATTTAAAAAAACAAAAAAAAAAGAGAGAGAATAAGGAGACACAAGGAATAAATACAATGTGGGATCCTGGACTGCATCCTGGAACAGAAAACGGACGTCAGTGGAAAAGCGGGTGAAACCTGAATACTGTCTGGAGTGGAGATAATAGTCAGGTTCCAAAGTCGGTTTCTCAGTTACAACAACTGTATCATGGCAATGGATGGCAGTGACAGTGGGAGAAACCGTGAAGGGTGTATGGGAACGTGCTGTACCATCCACCATCTCTGTGACTTTCCTGTACAGCTAAAATTATCTCCACACAAAGGGCTTATTAAAAAGAAATCACAGAGAATAAATGTCTAAACCAGAACAGACACAGATGCAGCCTCCTCCTAAACCCATGCACTCTGTCCTTCCCTGCACCATCTCCTGTCAGAGACTCCATTCCAGAGGTGGCCTCGTGGGGACCCGAGTGTCTCTCAGTCTGCCCCATGTCTGCCTTCTGGAACCAGCCCAATTCACCTTCAGAGGGCGGGAGGATGCTCCCCTTTCCCAGCTGTGCACATCTTCAAGTTATTTTCCCAGGTCCTCCCAACCCTCTGCAGAAACACTGGCTTCTCTCACATCCACCTTCCCCTTTACAGCACTCCCCAAAACCCAGGGGTTCCTGGGAGGCGGCTGCAGGGCTACAACGTATGACTTCAGTTAGGCCAATCAATGCACGTTCTCTGTGCATATGTTTCTCCCATGTGACCCAAGCTCATCCAACAAGAAGGAGATCTGGACTTTAAGAGGGAATGCTGGGACAAAGACAAGCTCATCTATGATGGCATGAATGAAGTCCCCAGAGCAGCTGATATGGACCATGCTGGGTTTTCATTGAGCCACTAGGTCAAGCTTTGCCTGAAACCCACACTGCCTTTCAACTTCTCAGTTATGAGAATAGTCATAGGCTGAAAAACGCTCCCCCAAAAGAAATCTTTCTTAATCCAACTCCTTGTCTGCCAGCTTGTTCTTCTGTGGTGGCTTGTCAGTTCCTGTGATGCTAGAAGCTTTTGCCACTAGGCCACCAGAGCTCCCTTTATTCTGTCATCCTTATTCATTATCCAGCTTTCAGAAGATGAGGGTGAAGCAATTCAAAAGGTGATTTGAACTTTAAACTTTGTTCAAGTTTTAGCAGGGCCACCTCAGGTAGAGAAGTTCTAGACTAAAAACTGACAAAGCAGAAGGACTGGCCACCCACTTCTGAAATAACAGGCCTTCAAAAACCCCATGAATGTTGTTGTTGGTGGTATTTGCCGTTGAGACATTTGCAACTCACAGTGACCCTATGTACAGCAGCTCTGAAGTCCACCCTGTGTGAGCCAAGTCTCACTGACTCCTCCAATACACTCCATTTCCGTCTCATCAGGGGTCTTCCTCTCTTCTACCCTTACAGGCACAATATCCTTCTCCAAGGATCAGTCCCTCCTGGCCACAGACCCAAAATATGTGAGACAGAGCTTCAAAATCCTAGCCTTCAAGGAGAAACTTGGCTTCACCCTCTCCAAGACAGACCTATTTGTTTTCTTGGCAATCCATGGCATGTTCAAGACTCTTCGCCAGCACAACAACTCAAAAGCATCAGTTCTTTTTCTCCTGTTAGCAGTAGAATATTGTTTGATAAGTGCTAGAAAATAAGCCTCTCGTGTTGCAAGGCACTGCACAGCAAGTGCAATGGGCTTCACATGGAAAGACTAAGGAGACAGTACAGGACAGACAAGCTCTTGACCTGTTGTTCAGAGGGTCGCCAGGAGTTGTAGTCAACTCTACAGCCCCTAACAACCACCACCCCTATTACACCAAAAGAGTCTCTTAAACGGCAGAATGTGGTCTTTGTAGATAAGATTAAATTAAGGATCTTGAGATGGGTGAGATTTCCTGGGATTATCTAGATAAACCTTAAATGCAGTGACATTTCTCCAGCTAAGAGGAACGAAAGGGGTTCTGACACAGCAGAGAGAAGGCAGTATGGTCACAGCGGCAGCGATGAGCAATGTCATCAGGTCAAGGGATGCTGGCCACCATCAGAGGCTGCCAGAGGTAAGGAACAATCCTTCCCTAGAACCTCTGGAGGGGGCGAGGCTCAGCCCACACCCGGGTTTTAGGCCCGTGTCGCTGAATTTGAATTGACAGCTTCTAGACCCTCAAGAGAATAACTCCCAGTTGTCATACATTTCCAGTTTGTACACGAACTAAAACAGTCCCTTTGATATTTGAGCCTGTTCAAATCTGGTTATTTTGTTACTTGCACCTAAAAGCAGCTTAATTTACATACCATAAATTTTTTCTGCACATAATGCACGGGTTATACTGTTTTTATGGAATTTCAAAATCCACCTTCAAGCTTGTGTTGACTTCCTACACAAGCTATGCACATGTGGCTGTGTGTGTGGTTTATAGGCATAACAGGTGTAAAAGCATGGGCACAGCAGCCGTGCCACTGTGGCCGCCCTCCTCCGGGAAGAGCTGAGCTATGCTGATGTGAACCACTCAGTCAGTCCCAGCTCAAAATAATGGTATATGAGAGTAGAATTGCCATGGGAATGTGTACCAAGTTACACTGTGAACCAATAGGTCAGCAGTTCAAACCCACCAGTTGCTACATCACAGAAAGATGGGTAGTCTTTTCTAGTCTGGAGAAGAAAGGAGCCCCATGCAGTGCATAACGTGTGTCATTTACAGCCTCAGACTCCCAAGAGAGGGTCATGATGAGTTGGACTCAATCAGTTCAACATCAATTGGTTCAATACAGGAGTAGACTGCCACCAGCAGGAGGCTGGTGGCTTCAAAGCATCGATCTTTCCAAAAGCAGCTAAGTGCTTAACCACTGCACCACTGGGATACACTGAGAAAGGCAAATCCAAGGCTGGATGAACCCTGCTTCTTGGGCTGGGCCAGTGGGCCCAGGGCAGGGGTGGCATCAAGTGGCTCATAGACTCTGAGCAAAAGCATTATGGGATTTTATTTACAAACAAGTCACAGCAATCAGGGCCCACTCAAGGTCCCAGCCAGGAGACCCCAGTTACATCCAAGTCCCAGCATCTGTTAACATCAGGACCTTCTCCAGCCAGGCCCCTGCCAGAGGGACCAAGAGTCAGGGGTCCAGGAGCACTGAAGGGAGAGGGCCCATGTCTGCCTGACGTCTACTGTCCTTGCCATGGTCCCCACACCAGAAGAACCAATTCTTGGCCCCGAAGAGCAGGGTAGGTCCTGAGGAGCCCGAGGACAATGGGGGTCCTCTCGAGGCATGTCCTCTCCTGTGGCCAGCCTGTGCCCAGCAGTAGTGATGTGGGGCACGGAGACACTGCAGGCCCCTCTAGACTAGTCCTGGAGCCTGGCATGGAGCTGGTGTCGCAGGCCACCCCACCCATCACGCGGGTGGCTCCCCCAGTTTGCTGGTGGCACTGGTGATTCTCTTGTTCTCCCGGAGGTTCCGGAGACGTGCGCTCAGGCTGCTGATTTCTTCCACGTAGGCCTGGGGCACCCACCCCTTCTCACCATCAGCCAGCCGGACGCCCTGCAACCAGCCTGGTGGCACACGGGCCAGGGGAAGCATCAGCGGCATCAAAGGACACCAGGCCTCAGCCCTGATGCAAGTGTCATCTGCACACTCGGGCCCAGTGTGACATCATCTCAGCATTTCCCAGCGCCATTAAAGACCCTGCCTCGAGCAGCCCCAGAGCTAACCATCTGACCAGTTTTCCCTGACATCCTCTGAGAAGGGTATTTCCCACTCTCCTCATCACTCTCCAGTCAACACTTTTATAAGTGGGAAGTTCCTCCTCCTGTCTAACCTGATTCCCACATGCTGTGGCTGATCATCACTTGCACAACCTTTCTTGTGATGTCTTAACCACCTTGCTACCTACCTCCTGCCCACCCTAGCCCCAGCAGGAAGGTCCCCAGGACCCCCTCTCACCGTCACTGGTCCGGGTCCTCACTGCCAGGATGTCTGTCTTCTCCAGGGTCAGCTCATCTGGCTGTAGGGCCTTGTAGGTCCTGACACACTGCACCTGGGGACGGTCTGACAACACAAGAGAAGTCAGGGGTCCAAGGGCAGGTTGAGGAAGGGTGGAGGGGGGAAAGAAGTAAGCAGGTGGGAATGACCCTCACTGTATCTTCTGCTCTGTTCCATGTCCTGGTCAACCCTCCCCTCTCTCATCCTCAACACAGCTGTCCATGAAGTCAGGCCCTCCCAGTTTCAGCCACTGCTCTGTGTGTGGCTCTCACATCCCCAGCTCCTCCCACCAGATTTTGCTCCTGACTTCCAAAAGCTACCTTCCAATGGTCCTCAGAGACCCTCCCAGACATCTCGTGTAAGATGTCCTCTTCATATGTCCTCTGCTATCACTGTGCTCCCTCCAATCCACTCCAAGGAGACCCAGGTTTAAAATCCTATAGTTTCCCATTGTGCTTCAAAAAGTCCTCCTAGGGACCTCTGGTGGCCTAGTGGCAAGAAGCTGCACTACAATCCCAGAGGTACACAGTTCGAATCTACAAGATGCTCTGTTAGAGAAGGAGGGGCAATCTCCTCCTTTACCAGTCAGATTTGATTTGATAGTATACACACACAAAATAATAAAATTGTTTTAAAAAGTCCTCCTGTTGGCCTACAAAGGCCTGTGTGCGCCGAGTGTCTGCTGCTGGCCCTTTGCCTCCTCTCCTGGCTCCCCCTTGCTCCCGAAGCTCCTGGCACATGGGCCCCCCTGCTGTCTGTCTTCCTTCTTCGGGGTACTCTTTCCAGCTCTTTTCATGGCTGTACTTCTTGGGTTCAGATGTCACTTCCAGAGGGCCTTCCCTGACCACCTCCCTGGAATAGGGCTCTCAGCCCGCAGCCAAGCTAGAGATTCCACCCCACTCCTCGTCCTCAGCTCCTCCTGCCGTGGCCACGGTGGCTGGTGGCCACAGAAAGGCACAGCCTAAGGAGCCAAGCTCAGCTCACACCTCAGCTCTGCCACCTACTGGTGGTGCAAATTTGAGCTGGTCACTCACCATTTCTGAGCCTCAGTTTTCTCAGATATGGAAAAAGAGAAAAATAAGCACGTACAATAGGGTTTAATAGGATTAAGTAAAATAAATGCATACACAAAGGCCCTACCAGTGCGCCTGGCAGGTGCTTATGTCAGAAAAGAAAGGCGCCTTGGTGGTGCCGTGCATACCATGTCAAGCTGTTGTCAAGCCAGTGGTTCAAATCCACCAGCTTCTCCACAGTAGAAAGATGGGCAGTCTCCTATCATAAAGTTTCACAGCCTTAGAAATCCAGGCGGCAGGGTGGGTGTTTCTGTGCACTGGAATCAACTCCCTCACTGTGGGTCTGGGATTAGGGTAGCAAGAAAGAGTTCCCTTCCTTGCCCTTCACTCTGTAAAACTCAGCTTTAACTTTAAAAAAAATCTTTAATATATAACTAGGTATTTCTGTCATCACAGGAGACTAGAGCGAGGGCTACATAGTGGAGGGGACCTGGGGGAGGGTTTGTAAAACAATGAAAGAATCTTTTCTTTTACTTTTCCATAATTTTTGGACTCATGTACTTATAACTTGTTAGTCAAATTTGTGTCTTCTAGGTTGCAACACCCCCATGATACATCTTCAAGGATATGAACATGTACGGCCAAGCACAATCAATAAGAGTGCATCTAAATCCCAAAATCAATCTCCATAATAGTCTATGTGTTTCCTACTGCCAAAGGGGCCCTTTAGAGTAGTGAGAGAAGATCTTCACCCTGAAACCCACAGCGTCCCTTTTCAGCAGGAAGTAGCTAAGAGAATACGCCGTCCCCTTTTCCTTATGACTCGGGGTGAAGTCTCTCTCAGGGAGGAGTGATAGGGAATGGCAAAGGACACACTGACAAAGAAGATTAATCAGAACTGGCTTTGACAAGCACTGTGGCATTTGGACAAGAACAAACTGGGAGGAGGGTAGAGAGAATAGTACAACAAGGAATGAATGGAAACCCAAAATCTCTGTAAATGTTTATGAAAATTAATAAAATATAGAAAAAAAAATCTTTAATAGTTCCTCAGTGACCCAAAATCAAACCAAAAGCCTCACTGCCGTTGTGTGGGTTCCAACTCACAGCAAGCCTCCGTCGGGTTTTGGAGGCCATGAATCCTGACAGGGGAATGGCCCATCTTTCTCCCACGGGGCCACTGGTAGATCTGAACCCCAGAGAACATCGTCCTTTGGATTAGCGGTGCAACCCAGCACAGACGACACCATTAGATACGCAACGGCTCCCTCAAAAAAGGTCCCAGTCAATGCCATGGAATCAACTCAGAGCTGACACTTTGATGGCTGTAAACTGCACTGGAGGAGATGGCCCATCTTTCTTCTGCAGTGGATTTGAGCCAAATGCCTTTGGGTTGGCAGCACAACTCCTTACCACTAGCCCACCACGTACTTAGCCCACCACAACGCCTTTCAATCGCTCCCTGTTGTTGTTGTGTACTTTTGAGTTAGAACCAATTCATAGCTGACCCGCCAGTGGGTTTTCAGAAGCAGTTTTAAGGGTACAGGAGGATCCTGGTGGATCTGAATTACGAGACCTTGAACTGGCGCACAACTCCTTACCATTAAACAAACCAGCAGTTTCCTCAAGGGCGCCCTGTGGTTGTTAGCTGTCCAGTCGGAACCAGCCCACAGCTGCCCTTCCAGCTGGTTTTTAAAGGCAGTTAATCGCATGGGAGGAGATTGCCCATCCTTCTCCCATGGAGTGGCTGGTGGGTTTGAACTGTATTCCTCTGGGGTTGCAGCACAGTTTCTTACCACTAGGCCACCAGAGCTCCCTCAATTGCTGCCTAGTGTGCATCGTATCAAAGTTCCCGTGACTGCACTTCACAAACTCCCCACATTGGAAGGAGCAGCTTCTGTCTCAGCTGGACAGATCCCTCCTGTCCCCGCCACCAGCACCACTCCCCACACTTGGTTCCTGCCCTCTCTGTGGCTGACAGACAGACCTGATAGACAGACCTGAGTTCCAGACCCAGGTCTGCATTTACTAGCTGAGACCTGTTTTCTAACTTGAAAAGTAGACTTCTGTGAGGGTCAAAATGGGAGGATATGAAGGGTTTTAAGATTTCTAGGGTGCTGCCTCTGTGTGAGGGTGGACAGCCCATTTGATGTAACTCACTTCCCCATTGACTCGGGCTAGCTGACCTTTCCCACCACTAACCCCATTACACTCAGATTTAGCAACACTGCAGTCAGCATTGTAGGTGAGGTCAGGTTCAATGCTGTCCCAAGTCCAGGGTGCATGGGGCTGTGGGGCCACTGGGAGTGGCAGGCTGCTTACCTTCCCCCTCACTGATGACCTCCTTGTCCTCCTCGGGGCTGGAGGGGCACATGGCGGAGATCCATCGCTGTTTTTCACTCCTGTGGGACAAGGTGGGGCTAAATTGTTATAACATGCAAAGTACAATTACCTAGTCAAGGGTTACAGAGACCAGACACATGACCAGAACCAGGACCTGCGTCATGTCACTTCCCAACTTTGTTCCCAAGCCTCTGTCCCATCCACCTCAGAATGTAAGAAGAGAGCAGACCCAAAAATCCCCGGACGTCAGCCCTATCCACATCCTGCCTGTGCCACCCTCCTAGAGCCAGAGGGAAAGGAGTGCTGTGAGTCTTAAGCAAGCGATGTCCAGAGACAAAGGAGCAGCTGGCTAGGTGCGCTGGTCCTACCCAGCAGAGCACATCCACTGCTTTGCCCCCTTATCTTCCTTTCTCCCTGCCTGCTTCACTGGAGCTGGGAAAGACTAGGCACTTGAGAACAAGGCCAAGGTCTTGTGCCTGGAGTGCTCCTCCCCATACCCATGCCTACCTCAAGGCTACTTACTCGGTCCGGGCCCTCAGCAGCAACTGGTGCTTGGTGTGTTGACCGTGGACGAGTTGGAGCAGGAACACGTGCCCAGGGATGCCCTGGAGCTTCAGGCTCAGGTCCTTCACCTGCAGCTCGGCCATCTTGGCATGCACAAAAACAGCAAACTTCCCCAGCCTGGAGGGCCAGTGCAGAGGAGATCAGCCTGGCTCGGGTGTGGGCTCTCACCCAGCATCCTCAGGACAAGGTGAGTTCTGATTTGAACAGAGGAGAGGCAGGGCCGTCTGCCCTTCCAACACCTTCTCCAGGGACAAGTGTCTGCTCAGGGCACTGGTCTCCATGGGCTGAGTAGAGTTTCCAAAACGAATTGAGAGCTCCATGGTGCCAGTTCTCTGACCAAGGTAGAAGACGGTTGGACAGTTCCTGGGCTCCAGGCATGCTTTCAACTTCTCTCCAAATCTCTTACACTGAGCCACATGCACTGTTCCACCGGACAAGCCTTCCATACTGTTTAGAAAAATCTATCCTCTTAACTTGTCTAGGCTCCATGACGGCTGAAATTTGTGTCTGGCTGGTCCACTTGTGGACTCAATGAGCAGCAGAGGAAGAGATGAGAGGAAGAGTTAAGTGGAGCTGACTCTACAGGCTTCTTCTGCATGATTTAACTCATTATCTCCCACTCCAAACTCCATCCCCCTTCTCTGTTCCCTATGCCATGAAAAGACTCCATCATACCACCAAAGATGCAGTTCAGATGCTACCCTCCTCCTGCCCTCACAGTCAATCAGTAGCAATATTCTATCTCTACCTCCTTGTCCCTAAATTTATGTCTCCTGTTACTTCTGGAGGTAAAGACTCCATGTGTTCTCATCTGAACAATTGCAAAAGCCTCTGGTCTACTCTCCAAAATGACCAGGAGTGAAATCTCATTCCACTGTTGGAATCTCCATAACTTCCAACTGTCCTCAGAATAATTCCAATTTTTCTATCACAACCTTCAACATCTCAGCTTCCCCTCTCTTGCATTCCTCTATAAACCCTGCCACATCAAGCTTATTTTCTTCCAAACATGCCCTTATACTCTTACCATTATTTTGCTAGACCCCTAAATCACTTTCTCTACCAAGAAAACTCCTACTCATCCTTCAAGGCCCAACTCAAATGTTCCTTCTGTAGATTCTCATCCTACACACAGTCAACACTCTTGGCACCAGCAGCCAGGAAATTAAAAGATGTATTGCCATAGGAAAGTCTGCTGTTAGGAACCCCTCCACAGTACTGAAGAGCAATGGTGTCACTCTGGAGACTAAGGTGCGTCTGATACAGGCCATGGTCTTTCCAATCACTTGTTATGCATCAGAGAGTTGGACAATGACTAGGGAGGATAGAAGGAGAATTGATGCCTTTGAGCTTTGGTGTTGGAGAAGAGTATTGAGGGTACCATGGACTGCTGGGAAAACAAACAGATTCATTCTGGAGAGGGTTAAACCAGGCTGCTCGTTGGAGGCAAGGATTCTGGGGCTTTGCCTGATGTACTTTGGACATGTTGTAAGGAAGAACTGGTCCTTGGAGAGGGACATCATGCTTGGGAGGGTGGAGGGACAGTGCAGGAGGGGAAGGCCCTCTATGAGGTGAATTGATTCAGTGACTGGGGTAATTGGGATGGGTGTGTTGGAGGCAGTGCGATTGGCACAGGATAGAGCAGGGTTTAGGGCTGTTGTACATAGGGTCACTATGAGTCGCAAGCAACTCGATGGCACATAACAAGAAACAACAACATCACAGAATACCACAGCACCATTATACCATTCCATCTCTGATCATGTGGTAATCAAGATGTGTCAGAGCCCCTGGGAGCAAAGTGACAGGTTCTATTCAACTTTGTGTCTGCAGCACCCCGCAGAGGGCCTGGTACAGAACAGGGATTCGGTGACAGTGTACTGCAGAAATGAATAAATATGCGACCATATCATGGAGCTGCAAAGTTTGATGGGTGGACGGGGTGGTGTTGAAGAAATGGGAAAGATCTGACATGAAAAACAATGTATAAGAACTTTATAAATAAACCAGTATTTAAAAAAGGAAATTAACAAATCAGGGATCAACTTTTCCCATAGCATAAAACGTCCTCACCTCATCCAGGAAGCCTTTTCCCTCATCCCTCTCTGAGAATAATCATAGCTAACACCAAGTGAGATTTTGCCATGTGCCAGGTACACGGCCAAGCTCGTTTCATGTACTTTTATCATACTGAACTTCTCAGCAGCACAGGTGGTAGGCTTTATTTTACAGATGGTAACAATTTAACTCAGTGGTTAAAATTCTGGGATCAGACATCAGATACACCTGGCCTGCTCCTAGATCCTCTACCTACAAGCTCCATGATGTTGAAAATAATCAGGAAGCCTATTTCCCAGGGGGTTCTGGTGGCATGGTCCATAGGGAGTTGCACTGCCAAGCCAAAGGCAGCACATCTCTCATGGTTCAAATCCACCTGCATCTCTGTGGAGGAAAGATGGACAATCTCCTCATATGCACTGAAGGGTGAGCTATGAGCCAGTTCCAACTGTATGGCAATGAGTTATTTCCTATGGAGCTGTTTGAAAGATTAGAGAGGATAATCCACAGGGCACGCCCGGCACAGAAAGGTGTTCAGTAAAGATTGGCCTTTCTCACATTCAGTACAGAGCTGTTAATCCTAGGTTGTCGTCTAAATCTCTGGCTTCACCTCCAAGCAGAGAGTTTCAAATCCCTTGCAAAGTCTAGCCTTGGAATCTTACCTCCAAGCAGCAGAGCCTAGCACAGACCACGTTCAATGATGGCCTGAGTGTGAGCCCAGTGGTGGGGCAGAAGAGAACCTGTCTCCAACCCACCCACCCCCACCGAGCTGCCCTGACTCACTCCTTCCTCCTGGAGAGCAGCAGGCAGTCGTTAAAGAGGTGCAGGTAGACCGTCTTGCTGGATAGTTTTAGCTTGGCTGGGGGTGCTGCGGGCAGGGGTGCCAGCTCCACCAGCTCTCCATGCCGAACCAGCCAGCGGGCCTGGGAGATCAGCGGGAAGATCTGGAGGCATGAAGCAGGACAAGGGAGAGGGCAGGTCAGGCTCGGGGACACCAGGGCAGCAAGGCCAGGACAGCAATGGGAGGGTGTGGGCTGTGAGTAGCAAGGAGACAAGGGCTTCCCTGGTCCCATTAGCAGGGCGCATGTACCTTGCCCTCAAAGTGGATCTTCTTGCTCAGGTGGATGAGCTCCTCGGTCCTCTTCATGGACTGCACACTGGCGTTGCATTCTTGCACTAGCTGGGGAGGATGTGGATGGGTCACCCACAGCCCCCATCTTGGCTCCGAGCCTAGCCTCAGACTCTCACTGGGGGACCAGAGTTTCGGAAAGCTGGAGGCTCTTTCAGAGACATTCTAGGTTCAAGAAGGGAGCATCTTGGGTGGAACAGTGGCTAAGCAGTCAACGCCTCACTGATAGGTGGCTGGTTTGAACCCACCAGGCACTCCATGGGAGAAAGATGTGAAAATCAACTTCCATAAAAATTTTAGCCGTGGAAATTCTACAGGGCAGTTCTACTCTGTTCCTACAGGGTCTTAATGAGTCAGGATCAACTTGACAACCACAGGTTTAGAAGTTCAGAGGAGGCGGCTTCTGTTCAAACTTACCTCCTTGAGTGCATTGAAGGCCTTGGTGGCCATGTCTTCGTCTTCTGAGCCCTGTGTTGTCCGTTTCAGAATATTCTGGAAAGTGAGGCCAGCACGATGAAGTAAGCCACATAACTAGTCATGAACTTGCCCACCCTGGGGTTTCTAAAAGCACTGTGGAATTCACAGGGGTACAGCTCAACCCCCCACACCTGATGCCCTCTCAGTACCTCCACTAGCATCTTGAGGCGGGTGATCCTCTGGAAGGGAAGGATGAGGAAGGAGGTGAGAGGCAGACGTTGGCACACGGGAGACTCCTCCAGGCGAGCCAGGATGCCAGGGAACTTGGGGTTCTCCAGGCTGAAAGTTAAGAGGAGTCAAGGGGTCACAGGCACACCACTACCAGGATCCACGACCCTGGCCCCTTCAGGTGCTTCAGGTGCTGTGGGAGCAGGGAATTCTCTGTTCCCAGAACCCCTCCCAGGGTCACTCTTCTGCACCCAGTACAGTGTTTTCCCCTGCTGGATCTCCCTCCTGCCTCCCCCCCCCCCCCCCGTTGAGAAGCCCCGGTCCCTACAGCAGACGTTGGTAGGTGCGCTCCTGGTAGGCCTGGTTGGTGACATAGGGCAGGTAGACGCGACGGAAGGCTGGGCAGTGGTGCAATACCACATCACACACGCTGAAGCGCAGCACGTCAGCCTCCAGCCTCTGCTCCAGCTCCTGCAGGAACCTGGGAGGGAGCGGTGGCAGGAGTCAGGGGAGGGCAGAGACCCTGGATCCCGAAGCCCACCAAGCCCCAGGCTCAGCTCCTGCCACCAGCCATGTTAAACCATTCTCACCTCTCGCTGGTGCTCTTGACTTCTGGAAGTTTAGAGAACAGCCACTGCTTGTCTTGTGCCCCCAGACACTCACTCAGCTCAGCTGAGCCCAAGAAGTGGGCCACGGCCACCGACAGACTGTGGATGTATGAGGCCTCCGATGTGATCAGCTCGAACTTGGCCTAAGTGAGGGCAGGGACAAGGCTCAAACAGCCAGGTAGAGTCCCCTGACATGCCTGGGCGTAACATCCCACTCGCCCTAGTCAAGGACACCACCTCCTTAGGGACACTCCGTGCCCCTACCCTTCTATAGCCTACCCCCTCTAAAAGCCCTCAGCCGCCTCCTCTAGCCTCACTCTAATGCTGGCTCTGTCAGGGGGCCTGCCTCCCTCCACTGTCGGCTGTTTAAATCCATCTAAACAAACCAAAAAACCTACTGCCACAGAGGCAGTGACTCACAGGCATGCAGTCGGACGGAAAAGCACCGCCCCATAGGGTTTCCAAGGCGTAAAATCTACATGGAAGTGGACTCTTCTGCGGAGTGACTGGTAAATTCCAACCCACCATCTTTTGGTTAGCTTTAACTGTGGCGCCACTAGGAGGGAGCTGGCCCTAGGGAGCTCTACTGGCCTAGTAGTAAAAAGCTGTGTTGCAATCCCAAAGGCTGCATCGGAGAATGGGCAGTCTCCTCCAGTGCGACATATTGCCTGTGAAAACCCACTGGAGGCTCAGCAAGGATTCTGTTCCATAACCGAACACAACAGAAACCTCTACTTTCCAGACCCTCCCCGAGTACTGGGACTCCTCGAGCCCGGACAGCCTCGCCTTCCCTGTGGACTAGCACCGCCCCTGCTAACCCCACCCCTGCTCGGGGCCCCGCCCGGCTCCGAGCCCCTAATCCTTTAGTCTTTTAGCTCTTCCCCTCTTCTATCCTTTCTGGCTTACTCTTTGTAAGGTCCTAGCGCCCACCTTTCAAAGTGACAGCTCTGGCCAGCCCGCCCATTTTGTGTGTTTTCTCCACTCGCTGGGGCCCCTGCCCACACCCTGCAGTTTGCATCCCCCAGTGGCTCCGCCCCTAGTTTAGCCCCGGCACCAGGACCACAGAGCCTAGTTCTGCTAGCCCCGCCCCCTCCTCGCCGCCTTGCCGCTCCGCAGGCCCCACCCCTCGAGGGCTCCGCCCCTCGAGACCCCTCCCCGCCGGGGTCCCACCTCCTGCAGTTTGCAGTCACGCAGGCTCAGCGTGGCCAGGACGCCGCTGCCGCGCACGTCGGGGATGTCCTGCCACAGCGAGAAGGTGGAGCCGCGCGCCGAGCGCTGCGCCCGGAAGGAGCTGCTGGGGGAGAGGTTGGCGCGCGGCGGCCCGGGCCCCTCCTCCGCGCTCTCCGCCTCGTCCCCCGGGCCCTCCTCTTCGCGCTGTTGCCGCCGCAGCTCGCGGGCGCTGGCCACGTCGTTGTATTCCTGGTAGAGGACGGCTGGGCAGGGAACAGGGACGGGGGAGGGCCGAGGTCGGAACCCAGTGAATTCAGTCATTCACTCACTCATTCATTCCATAAACACTGAGAACCAACTGCGTGCCAGCCTCTGGCCGTGTTATTGCTGGTTGCGGTGGAGAGGATTCCGACTCAGGGCGAAATATCCCGTGTGTGCTCAATAGAATTGCTCCATAGGATTTTTCAAGGCTGGGGACGCTCAGTAACAGCTCGCCCATCTTCCAGGGTGCCTCTGAATTCGAACTCTCAACCTTTCGGCTACTGTGCTTAAGATTCTTACATGATCGCTCCATACCCATTGTTGTGGAGTCGAACTTCCCCATAGGGTTTCCAAGGGTCCCCAAGGGTTTCCATCTTTACTGAAACTGACTGCAACACCTTTCTCCCAGGAGTGACTGGTGGGTTCACCTCAGTTAGCAGCCACTTGTCACATGACCCCTCCATCCCCTTAGCTCTTCAAGCTCCAGTCTCCCAGTTCCTAGCCCCTTCCCCCATGACCTCCACCCTCTGTCGTTACCCTCTCCCACATACAGTTAAGGAGAAACCGAGACTGGCGCCTCTCGCTGGAGCTCTTGGAACTGAGAGGGGCCTCTTCCTGCGTGTCCAACCTGGAGGAAAGGGGTCATTAGGACGCTTTTTCGCGACACGCAGCCTCATACTGGTGCCTGAGCGCGAGGTGGTACCTGGGCTTGGGCCAGTCGTCAGGGCCCTCGCTCGGGTCAGCAGAGGCTGGTAGCATCATGCTGTCCACCTTCATCATACTTCGTGACTCCTTTGCACCTGCTTTTTCTAGACAGGACGAGATCTGAGGGTAGGTGGCCTTTGGGCACAGGGAAACCATGTCCCATTGGCCCTGAGGTCCATTGAACACACTACGCCCTGACCCCACATCCGGCTCCCAGGTTGTTCTCAGGATCCAAAGGAAGAGCTGGTACCTTCACGGGCTGCGGCAGTGCCCAGGCCGGGGGCCCTGGCAGCTGAATTCCGCCCCAGGCGCAGGGAAGAGTGCAGCCGAGTCATGAGCTCAGAGGCTGAGAAGCGCCTTCGCTCAGGTCCCTCGAGGCTCACGCAGGTGGGCCTGGACTGCTCCAATGGCCTAGGCTCCTGGGGCCTCAGGGCCTGTTCCCTCTGCATCTGGTCTGGCTCCAGGAAGACAGGATGGTCCTCGGGGCTGCTAGAGGTCTCTTCACGCTGGTACACCCGCATCTTGCGCCCTGTGGAGGGATAGGGGTAGAGGTGTGGGCACAGGCTGGCACTCACTCTGCTTTCTTCCCAGCTCCTCCCAGCTGCTGTCCTGTGGCCCTGAGCATCTGAGGGAGGTTTGCGTAACATGACAGAAGGGAAGATGCTTTTGCCAGGATGTGGGTTTTGCCTGAATCAGAGCACAGGGATCAACCAGAGGGGCAGAGGCAGCAAGCACAGTGACTGACTGCAGTGGGCCAAGGAGACAGGATGCCCAGGATAGCCACTTGCAGCTCTACCCTGACCAAGTCATTTGCCTTCCCTGAGCCCCAGTTCTCTGATCACTAAAACGGATTTTGACAATAACTAAGAGCCACCCAACCCTCCCCCACTGTCCGCCAGGGAGTGACTCACAGGCCAACTTCTTCTCTGAGCCGTGGCTGGCCCTGCGCTGTGGCTGGGAGTGCTGGGGTCTCCAGGGTCCCTCCAGAGCTGGGGGCTGGGCGTTGGGACAGTGTGGCCAGCTGCCAGCCCTGCTGGGCCTCATCCCCCCAATGCTAGGAACCTCAGTGTCTGGGCTTTCTGGGGATGGTGGCCATAGCAGTCCTTGGAGTGGGGCAGGAATCCCCAAGGACCAGCGGCTGCCAGGAGCACACAGCTCCTCTGGGGCAACAGGAAAGAAATCCAGACACAAAGAGCTTGGGGGCTGCAAGGTGGGCAGCTCCGCAAAGGGCAGGCTCTCCTGCTGGCACATGGCCACCGGGCAGTGGGCAGGGCCAGGTGGCTCAGCCAGGTGGGGCTGGAGGGCAGCAGGTGGCCCACACTCCATTCCTCCTTTGCTCTGCCACCCACTTGGGCCTGTAGGAGAAAAAAGTGTCAGTGCCAGACACAGGGCAATAAAGTTGGTCATAGAGCCACCATGTCCCAGAGGCTTGTGGACACGTGTATACACATCTGTACAAGCACCTTCACACACCTAATTATATGGTGATGGCGATTACTTATTTGGAACTGAGTGACAGGACAAGTGCTCTACACATAATACCTCCTTGAATCCTCACAACCACCCAGTGGACGGATACTGTCATCATCCTTATTTTGTAGGTGAGGAAAGTGAGGTACAAAAAGGTTGCTATTTGGTAAATGATGGGACCAAGTCTAGCTCCCGAGTCTGTAGCTCTAACACCTCATTTCCACACCGTGACTATGACCCGCATATATTCTCTATCATCTCCAACACACACTGACATCCAACCAGATATACAGATACAGTCATTATTGCATTATCCATGCATGTATATAGCAGAATATACAACCTCACATGTATGTTCTCTCACACACAATGACATACACATTTTCAGGGAGAGAGGTTTCAAAGTCACAGATTCACAAATTTTGTACGTAACTATGTACATTCACACAGACACTTCCCACAAGCACACACACTGACCCATCAGCTACTGACATCCACTCACGCTCTTCAGCCCTTGGGATGCTGACATCAACAAACAGTTCCAGAAGTCCTGGCTCCGCTGTGACCCAGCACCACCACCCCTGCCAAAGTTGCAGCTTTCGGCACTCGTGGTGCCCACACCCTTGCCAAGCTGGCTGGGAGAGTCACAGAGTGACGGGCAGGCCACCACCCGAATCAAGCTGGGCCTCCCAGGAGAAGGACAGGGAGGCTCCCAAGCCCCCTAGTTTGGAGCAGGAGGGGGATTCCAGGAGGGGGATTCCCCATCCCAGCTCCTAGCTCTAAAATCCTGCTTGACTGAAGGGTGCTCTCCCGACAGGAAGTCACTCCCCACCAGCCTGCCAGAACTTCAGGCAGACCTCTTGATGTGAGGGGTCTGAACCCCCAGAACCCTTACCCTGTGGCCCTCCATGGGCCACCCTCTGGCAACCCCTCACCTCTCCAGCCGAGGCCCTCTGCTGATGCTGTTCGGGGAAGCCCTCTCTCTGCCCAGCTGGCTGGGGGAGATCCCACCCAGACAAAGAGTTTGATTCATCAAACCCTGTGGTGAGGCAAGTGGGTAGGAAAGGGGGGAGGGAGTGGGTGGCGGCTGGGCGGGGGCCTGCCCTAGCCTGGCCTCCCTGTGGGCAGGCAGGGCAGCAAGGACCCCTCAAAGGCCCTCCTCCAGGCCAGAGGGGTAGTGCTCAGCCTGACAGAGACCCAGGGGAAAGGGACTGAGCCACTAAGAGACATTGGAGAGATGGAAACTCTTTAGAGAACAACTGTAAAACTGAGACCCCCAAAACATCCAAACCCAGAAAAACCACAGACACTAAGACATTCAGAGACCCAGAGCTGGAGACAGAGAGACAGGGACATTGAAAATCTCCAACAGACCAGAGCAGAGACCGAGCAGAATGTGAAACTCAGCAAGACCCAGGGAGACAGATGTACAAACATTTCCTGCCCCCGGGGGACTGCCAGTCCACTGGGGGAGCCAAAAAGGAGAACAGTTACAACCTAGTTTGGCAAATGTTAAACAGAAGTAGCTGCCGGTTTTAACTCAAGGTGGGAATTCCAGAAAAGCTGGAAAAGGTAATAACTAACCATTCGTTGCATGGTCCAAACACTCTGGGCACCAAGGTGCACAGAGGGGAACAGTCCTGGCCTAAAACAGTGACAGTGTCAGTGGCCCTGGAGAGAAAGGGAGGAGAGGACACAGCGGGGACAGCTGGATCTGTGGCTGGGTCCCACTCTTTCTGCCTTGCCCTTTAAATTGCTTCCTTCTTCTCTTTTGACTCTGTCTCCTGCCTGGGAGGAAAGGGGCTTCGTTATTTCTAAGGCACAGCTTAGATCTCCAAACTCTCCCTACAGGGTAATTCTAGCTGGTACCCCAAGGCTTTGCCTCTTAAGCCTAACTACACATCGGCTACTCATGCAGGAGGAACTCTGGCTGCTTAGTGGTGAGCAGTTGTGCTGACAACCCAAAGACACGCAGTTCAAACCCACCAACAGCTCTACAGGGAAAAATTGGGCAATCTCCTCCCCAGTGATTTACAGCCTCTGAAAACCAACTAGAGGGTCAGCTATGAGTTGGTTCCAACTCAACGGTACATAACAACAAAAGCATCCATCTGGCCAAGTGTCTCTAAGCTTCTGTTTCTTCATCTGATAAGCACAATAATCACATCAGCTTCATAATGTTAATGTGAGAATTCATGACAATGTAAGTAAAGCATCTAGTACATAGTGGAAACTGTAATAGTCATCGCTCTGAAAATCATTATCATCATCATTCCTGTTTCTCTAGTCAGAAGAATGACTTGACCCATTCATTACACATGACAAGTCAAGCGGTGAGCGTGGACACACCCCACTTCGTAGGATCATGTGGAAGGAGGCATGAGGGTCTCTCGCCAAACAGTGCTCTTTTTCTCCAGAACTCAGACGTCCTCCACACAGCCATTTCAGATGCTTCTGTGGACCTACAGGTATACACACACACACACACAACCTTGCAGGCAGATGGGCGGCTGGCTGTCCCCTCTCTTGTATCCTGAGAGTTATTCTATTAGTGTTTTTGAATCCTCTCTCCACCCATGTCAGTCCCAGAGATAAATGAGTAAAACATCGAGCCTGTGGGGCAGGCGCACCCTCTATTCAAGGCCTTGGAGGAAACAATTAACTAGATGAGGGGGGAATGGGAGAGGCAAGTCTATGGAGAAACTGTTCTGAAGAGAGTCGTCTCCCCCTCTATCCAGACCAGTGGACACTAAAAAGGACCCATCTAGCTCTGGTGGCCTAGTGGCAAGAAGCTGTACTGCAACCCCAAAGGCAGGCGCTTGGACTCCGCCAGTTCTGCAGAGGATGGGCAATCTCCTCCTGTGCGATTAACTGCTTCTGAAAACCCACCGGAGCATCAGCTATGGGTTGGTTTCTGATTCGACAGTACACACCGACCAAGAACAAGCTGAGATGTAGCCCTGTGGCCTCCCAGGGATGTTGTCAACTAAACTCCAATGCCAACCGTCAAGGGCAAGGGCAAAGTCGAGTTCCCACTGTTCACAGACAACCTCTGCTAGGAGAAAACAAATAAACAAAAACTTCCAGAAGAGAAGTGGCCATAGGTAGCAGGCATATAGCTGGATCAAGAAGTGGCCCAGTACAGAGATCAGCATAAGGGTCACTCCAGAACCCACACGGATAAAAGCACTGCCCGGGGCTCAAGGCCCACTGCCGATCTGATCAACTGAAACTCAGCAGTCCTAGCACTGACCTGGGCCCTTTTGACCCCATCTGCAAAGTGCTCTCTAAGGTCCCTCCTAGCTGTGCCCTCTAGGAAACCTGTGCCATCCTCAGTGCCTGCTCAGGGTGAGAAGAACAGGCAGGGGCCAAGGGGTGTAGCAGGCACTGCTAAACTTGGCAAGGCTGGCAGAGAGGGTCTCTGGACACTTCCATGGTCCAGGGCTAACGCCTCTGACCTCTTGTATCTAACTCTTCCCTGCCCCCTTCCAGGGACCCTAGCAAGAGTCCTCTGCTTCTTAAGGGACAAAGTCAAGCAGGAGGTCATGGTTGGAAAGGGGATCCAGGTCATGCAGGCTGTGGAAGAAACGCCAAAAGACCACAAGTGGGTGGGGGCCAGTAGCAGAGGCCAAGCAAGCAGCACAAAGGACTTGCTCGGAGGAGACTGCTGGGAGGAGACTGGGGCTACTGGCACCAGGTTGGGGGCCCTACCTCAGCCAGGAGCTCCGTCTAGATGCCGGCACTGTCCAGGGCTCCAGACCACCAGGCTGCCCTGGGGGCTTTGGGGCTGCAGCCAGGTCCTCAGGGGCGATGTCAGTGTGTCCCCCAAGCTAGGCAATGGAAGCTCCTGGGTATTGTGTGGGGCAGGGAGGGGGGAGGCGAAGGAGGAGGGAACCTTGCAGGCAGGCGGGCTGCTGTCCTAACGTGTCTGCTCCCGCCCCCTTCTCCAGAACCGGTTTGGCCAGTCTGAGGTGCTAGAGGGGGGCTGGAACAATGGGAGTCCTATGCCAAGGAGAGGCTCCAAGGACCCCAGAACCACGTCCTCTAGATAGGAGGGGCTCAACTTTTCATAGGAGACAGGCCCCCTCTAGCTCCCCAAATGTGAGGCAGGCTTAGAGGCCTTCTCCGGGCTTGGAGAGTTTCTTGGAAAGTTCACAGAGACTCTCCTAACCTTGAACTCCTGAGAACTCCATGGTGTGCAAACCCTTCCTGAGCCTGTCAGAGCATCTATAAAATGGGAATATTCATCTCTGTATTTGAAAGTAGGTGATGCAGGGCACTTGGTGATGATGACCCCAGGTAGCCCCTTGAGCATCACTACCCCTCTGGAACAGTCACACCTCCCTGCTTGGTCTGACCCTCCTCACCCTTTCCAAGCACCTCTTCCAGGAAGATTTCCAGACTGTTTTTATGTGCTGTCGAGTCGCCTGCGACTCATAGCGACCCTATGTACAACAGCCCTAAACCCTGCTCTGTCTTGTCTCTGACACACCCATCCCAATTACCCCAGTCACTGAATCAATCCACCTCATAGAGGGTCTTCCCCTCCTGCGCTGTCCCTCTACCCTACCAAGCATGATGTCCCTTTCCAAGGACCTGTCTCTCCTTACAACATGTCCAAAGTATGTCAGACGAAGCCCCAGAATCCTTGCCTCCAAGGAGTAGCCTGGTTTAACCCTCCATTTCAAATCCATTTCAAATGAGAAATGAGGCTCCAATAAGCCAGCTTAAAGAGCCCAAGTGGAAACAAGGGCATATGGGCAGATGGCCTGCCATACACCAGGCACACAATCTTCTCAAGCTCGCAACCTTGCCTCTAAAGGAGAAGTTGCTTTTTCTCTAATAATACCTTCCAG